GAGCGGGGGCAACAGCAGGGCGACCAGCACTGACAGCAGTCGCGGCGGAAAACGGGGACGGAGGTTAGGCCACGGGAACAGGCAAGTGGTGTATGATCGGGGTGGTTTTGGTAGCTCTGGGTTGTTGGGGGAAAGCAAGGATGCTTCAGAAGACGGTTCTCTCTTTTCTTCACCGCTTGTTCTACGCCCTCCCGCTGATGTAGGCCAACCGACCAGATCTTCTTTGGCTCTCAAACTTACCAACATGCAACTTCGTGAACATTCAGCCGCTGAGAAAAGCCATGCCCCTGCCCATACCGTTATGGATCATCCCACATCTTCCTTGCCTTTGGACGAACGTGTTGAGTCACCACGCCATGCTGCATCACACGCCTCGACTTTGGCTTCCCGTACTGAAATGCTATTGGAACAAGTACTCACTCTCCTGCGAGCAATTCAAGTAGTGGATGCTGCTGCCCACGCGAATGCACAACCTCCTGTGCCCTCCCACGCTCCTAGCGTGCCACCACCTGGCCCATCTTCTTCCCCGCCAACGCATCTGACACCGCTGCAAGACCACGCTTCGAGCTTGTCGGGAGCTCCTGTAGGGCGCGAGGTTCGTGCCGAAACAGCTGCCAGGGCCACGTCAGGATCATCGTCATCAGCCACGAGGTCGGCGACAGTACCGGTCGGGCCTGCGGTGGCACCGTCAGCGTCGACAGCCCCAGCCCTTTTGCAACAGCCTTTGGTGGTATCGCCCCACTCCCTCCAGCGTGCGTCTGTTCTGATTGATCCTAACTCTGCAACCGGCCACATCGTCGAGCCACCGGGTCAAGCGGCATCACCGTTGCCACAGGACGATGCTGGTTTGCCTTTGACTTCCACAAGAGCGAGAGCGAGGCAGGAAGCTCTGGACGCTGCGGACGCCGCTGCGACGGAGGCCGACATCATCCGCATCCAAGACAAGATGGACAAGCTGAAACCGGAACAACGTGATAGTATCATACGCTTGCCCCTCGGACCTGATCCTGATGAATTTGCTCGCTTCGCGTCTAGCTGCAAGGGTGTGGTCACAGAGATCCTCAACAAAAGCGACGTCAAGCGCAAGCAGACTTTCAATTCCTCCACCTGGGTCACCGGATGGCTTCCGTTGTTGCGCAAACGTGTCCGTGCTGCTGTCGTTGAAGGCCAAACCACCAACCGTGCCACTCTGGAATTTCTTGATGCCACCTTCCTACAGGTAGAAAACCATCTGCGCAAGGAACCGGCAGGGCCCTCGACGTACGCCTTCTTCATCCAGAAATTGGCGGCCGCCTGGGACACTCAAGACAAGAGCTCGGGGATTGATCGTCTTCGCAGTTTTGGCGTATCCAACGGCGAGACTTACGGAGAATACATCCGTCGCTATAAGGCTCTGGCCATGACCGTCATGGTTTCCCACCACGCGTTCAAGCCTTCGGATGCGCAAGTGCAGATAGCTGTTCGAGACTCCATGTTGAAGCAGTTTCCGTTAAGTGTCTGGGCAGGTGTACAAGGATGAGCAGCTCTCCATGGAAGCCCCTTGTGGGCGACATGCTTCGTGTCTGGATAATATGTGGGATGTGTTGGACAAGCGTGCGTTCGCGAACACGCCGGCGGTGCATGGAGATGATTTCTTTTCGGTACCTTCCACGAATGCTAGGAGTTCGTCTGCTGTTTCGCGTGCTGTAGCTTCTTCGGCGTTGCGTTCGACGGTGACC